GGGGGGGAGAGGAGCGAGAAAAAAGCAGGGAAGTGTGTGGCATCGTAGTTTTTCTCGATGGCGCCAGAAACATCCTAATTCTTCTTTGTCGTTCCTTCCAAAAAAGTAGAAAATCGTCCTTATTCTTGTCGTTACGACGAAAAGTAGGAGAAAATAAGAATCATTAGAATATTCAGCGGGTGAACAAAATTTCTGTTTTGTTCCCACTTCTTAGGCTACAATTATTATAGCCAAAAGAAAGTTTAAAATTGGCGCTCATTAGCAACTTTCTACTGGATACTTTTCATCATGTTAGTGAAACAGTGATCTATTTTGGGATACATTCATTGCTCCTCTAAAATAGAATTCTGTTTTTTAAAATTCCAACGAAATTTAAATTCTCTTTCGTTCGTCATATCTTTATATTCGTAAAGATACGAATTTACAGAAACATATACAGTATAGAAATCAATCAGATAATGTTAAGTATCATTAATTTTGAAAGATATTTGATATTTATTAACGAAGTAGAAGTAAAATAGGAGAGCGAGAGAAATCATACAGACGCTAAGAGGTTTTCGACAAATTTCCTGTCTCGCGCTGTGATACGCACGTTTTAAGGGCACCACGTGCTCAGTCGAGACGCGGGAAGCTTACGGGAAAGCTCGAGGGGATACGATGCGTCATTTCGCACCCAGGTGGATTCTTAGGCGCGGAGAACAACAGAAGGTGGACTCTTATGACGCTGCAATTTCCTCCTGGTGGATCCACAACGAAATTCGAATTGTCTACGGTTTCTATCGTTCCTCCGCACCAGTTGCACAACGATGCCCTTCCCATTCATGTGTATTCACGTGTGTAGCTCTCGGAAAAAATTGAAGATTGAAGCTTGGGACTTTAGGAGAAGAATCGGGGCAATTTTAAAAGATATAATATTAACCCTTACTGTGTGAACGTGAGTCTTCCGTTTCACAAGATATCTCAAGTGTTTTAAATTTAATTTAGGAAAATTACTATGTAATTTAATATACAAAATAGTAAATCTTTTTGCTACAGGAATTTGCTATGTAATGATAATTTAAAAAACTTTATGATAATGTTAATTTATACATTATATAAACTCTTTTAAATAAATTTAAATACACAGTATAGATTAATACATATCATCGTATATTAATATTTTGAAACTCTATCATTCCATACAATATTCCCAAATCCTTTGAGTGTTTTTAAAATATTACTGGAATTATCTCGTCTTTTCATAACCGAGAAAAATTCAGCATTTCAAAAAGAATACAAAAACGCGACTGCATCTCTAAAATAGAACTTATTCGGCATCCTTTGCTTCTGACACATCAACAAGAATATCATTGAATATTCACGAGGCGAACGGTATTTTTCGACATTGATTGTGGTAGGTCATCGAGGATCCCCTCCATTCTCGATCGCTTTTTTCGCTTGAATTCCTCGCAAGAAGGAACGACTAGAAAAGTTTCTGTTCTCGAACACTCATTCTATAGGAAGCTACATTGACCAGAATAATTGAACTCCATAATTGGCAAGCACAAAAAAACGATGATATTGGAAACATAACAAACTGAACATTAGTCGTCAAAATACATACGTAATGAAGTTAAGAAACGAAGATAACGCGGAGTCAATTTAAATTTAGGATAATTCGAATCTTTTTCTCGTTTTTCATGTTTTCTCTTGCTGCATCTAAAGTACACGATATTTTTTCATTCTTTCGTACCGCTACACTTTATGTGTTCTACCTTTTATTTACTATAAAATTGCTAAATAATTTAATACGAAACAATAGTAAATTATAATATCGAAGGCTAACGATGTTTTATGATATACGAGTTTAATTATTCCGTACAAAACTGAAGCTTGAATTTTAAGATGTTGAAGTTTGACTCAAACAACCCTATCTTACCTACTGTACACATAACGAAATCAAACTGCTGAACCGAACGCATCTGGAAATCTCTTAGATAAATCCCCTTCCGTTAAACGTGTTTCTGTTGAGACAAATTTATCGGTGCCGCTCATGAAGAAACAGGAACGTCGAAAAATCGTAGTTTTAAAATAGTAGGGGGATGATAAGCGACAGAACGCCCGTTAGATCATCGTTGCACCAAAAAATGTTGTAAATGAGCTGCCGGATTACGCGCTGGGTGAAAGAGGAAACCTCGTATCTTAGACATATCTTGAGACGTCTAAAAACGAGGGACAGACTGAGAGGTCTGGAAGACAAACGCCATTGGACGCAAGAGGCAAGCTAGGAGGAACATGAATTCGTCGTCGATTCGGATGGACAGACGTTATCCCGCAAATTTGGATGGTATTTAAACGATATTCGTCTACGAGAACAGGTTACTTACTTTTATGACCGTTTTTTACTCGATGACGTCGTCAGCATGGTTAATCGCAATCTTTAATATAACCTAACTATTAATAAACCTCTAAGTATTCATAATTTCTTCGAATTATTAAATCTATTAACTAGTGGAAGTAATTTCAATACGATTTGATTGGTCGATGATGTCGTGTCGTCAACATACTTAATCGCAAACTTTAATATAACCTGACTATTAATAAAACTTTAAATACTCATAATTTCCTCGAATTATCATATTAGTTAATCGAAGTAATTTCCTAATACGATTGACTAAGTATTATCGATCGTAGAATGAAACAACTCTCGGAGTGTAAAAATATTATAGTTCCTTCATTTACAGTATCTTTTAAATAATTGTCTAGATAAAATAGGTGATGTCTGCCTTCACTAAACGTTAAATTTATGTTTCCCACAATACTCGTATCATTGCTTGCAGATTTAATCTCGTATTAGAAAATCACGCGAGTATTCTTAGAGTTTTACGCGAGTAATTTTAGAAATGTTTTCTTAAAAAATGGTATACCAGAAGCATACAATGCGTTACATGTTCGAGAAACGGAAGACAGGAAAGCCGTGTGGCAGAAAATCTCCTCATAGGGTTCGTTTGATAAAATAAAGTGGACGAAGGGCGAGGGTAAAGAGCAGTCAACGTGGCCACTTAATTAACCCCCTCCGTGAACTCTGCGCGGCCTCTTGTTTAAGCAATATCAATTTTACCACGGAGGTCCTACGCAGCCAATATTGACTCCCCGAAAACGTATTACATACCACTGCGTATTCCGAAATCGGATCCCGAATTTTCCAAACGTTGCTCAACCCTCAATCTTCCTCTCCAAATAAACCTCTCACATAAAAACCTTCTATAGACTTGAAGGAAAAAAGAAATTGAAACACAAAATTCACTGCATCTCTCTTATCAGTCTAATCACTGCCGTCGAGCAATGTCAAAACAGATATCTACAAAAAACAAAAAGAAAAGGCGGAAAATATTGAGGGTAGAAAAAGGCGATATCGTGGACTCGAAATCCTTTCACCGGCTTCTTGCCCCGTACATACGTATGCGTGCGTACAGAGTAAAAAGAAAAAAAAGAGGTGAAAAAAGAGAAAAGAAGGAGAGGAGAAGATTTTCAAGCAACACAAGAACCCTGCACCCGGACAAAATAGACGCTTCGTCTCGAGGCGAGGGTAAAAGAGACGAAGAGAAAAAGAGCGGCTAGGATATAGCAGAGGGGTACACGATAAAGATGAAGATACTCTCGTGACTAGAGCACACCGTGCGTAAGAAAGAGACAGAGAGAAGAAACGAGCAGAGCATACGGAGGACGCGATATGCCCGCTTAATTATCCCTCCCCTTTCCTCCCCTTTCACGTATGCGCCTAGTCTATGTCTTTCTCACTTCCTCGTTATTCCTCTTACACGTTCTGCTCCTCTCTTCCTCTTACAAACACTCGTTCGTTGTCTCTCCTCGCCTCGTGTTCCCTCGTTCTAGCTACTCGTAGCGAAGCGAGAAGCGTCGAATGAGCGAGTAGTGGGGGAAGACTGCGTGGAGACGAGAGTGGGAGGGAGAACGAGCGAGGTTAGAGTGCACGGCGGAGCGAGAGAGAGGGAAACAGCGGAGTACTCGGTTTCCGTGGCGGCAGGGTGG